GGCATGGTGGCACATGTCTGTAGTCCCAGCTACTCAGGAGGCTGAGGCAGAAGGATTGCTTGAGCCCAGGAGTTTGAAGTTGCTGTGAGCAAGGCTGACGCCACGGCATTCCAGCCTGGGCAACAGAGCAAGACTCTGTCTCAAAAAAAAAAAAAAGAAAGAAAAGAAAAAGAAAAAGGGGGTGATTTCTGCAGCCTCAGCCACAGCCTTCACTGTGAATGTGCCCCTCCTCCAACCCTTGGAGTTTCAAGATTGACTTTCCCCCAGGACTGGATCCTGCCCATATTTGGTGAAAGCAAATTTTTCTGGGCCTTTTCTAGAACTTCAAACTCACTGTCTTTCCAAGTGCTGCCTTCCTTGCAGCCTCTGGGCCCTAAGCCCAAGAGTCAGCCTTGCCAGGAGCCTCAGGCAATGCTCAGCAGCAGAGAGAGAATAAAACAGACATGGGACCTGCCACATTGGATATATAGTGTGTGCCATATGAACAGTCATTGCAGAGCAAGCAGAGAAAACCTGTGGCACCATAACCCAACGTATGGCCATGTGTTTATATGCCACTAGTTATCTTCCTCCTCCACATTTGTAGGAAACTGGTTCTAGCAGGTCTGGGCCCAAACCTCTTGGCAGCAGCAGCAGCTGGATACTTGTCCTAGAAAGGTTACAAGCTGAGTTAGGGTCTCTTCACATTCCTCAGCCCCCTCCCTCCTGGCCCACTCCCTGACAATCTTTGCCACAGGACAGAACACTTTGAAGGTGTACAGGTGAGGATGTGACAGATGCCTGCCTGACTTGAAGACAATCTCAGCCCCCAGTTCCAGCACTAAGAGCAGCTGTTGAAAGGCCTGTGGGTGCCAGGTGCTTTGGGTCTACCCTGTCCCAATCTCCAGAATCCCTGTCCTCCTTCCTCCCCAAAGATCGGTGCCCAAGAGGCTTACATCTGCTGTTTCGACAAGCACAAATAGGAGAAACTCCATGGGAGGAGAACATTTTTGTAGACCTGTGGAAATTTGGGCTTCATTGAAACGCCTCCTTTCACCTCCGAGCTTCCTCGGAAGTACCCTGGGAGGGAGGATGGGACGTTTTGGAAAGCAGCAGGGGGCGGGGTGGGGTGGGTGGGTGCGCCCCAATGATCTCATGCTGACAGAATACCTTTGCCCCTGACTCTTGGTGAGAGACAGTCTGGGGCCTTTGTGTCTGGAACTGGGCAGGAAGTTCCCAGGACAGAGCCCAAACACCCTGGCTGACCAGCGCCCATTGCCCAGACCAGGGCTGGCACACTGCACCCACGGGGGGCGGGGGGGTGGTGGGAGAAAGGGAGAAAGCAGCTGCACTGGCCTCCTAAGGGCTTCACCCGTTTTGTGTTGGGGCTATTTCGGAAAGTTTGGGGTGATCCAGGGAGAAAGACCTGCTCACCTGGGCTATTTCAAGGACAGCAGATGGGAAGGCCTGCCTCCTGAGCAAACCAGAACCCTCGTTTTTGGCAGAGGGAAGAAGAGAAAGGGGGCCCTGTCTCTTCTGTGTCTGTCAAACGAGAGGACCAGAACTTTTTTTTTAATCTTTATTTTTCCAGCCTATAAAGGCTGCAGAAATCCCCTGGGCAGACTCCGGCCCTGGCGCCACCCGCCTCAGGCCCTCCTCGCAGCTCTGCGAGACGGGCTCTGGGACGCCCTCCCGCCGGAGCCCGGCGTGGGTTGGGCGCTGTCTTCGGACAGTACCCAGAGCCCGCTCCTCCTGTCGCACACTCGCCCGGACCAGCCGCCCGCTTGGGCCTGGGCGGCGCGTTTCGTTGAAAGAGGGTCAGCGGTGCCTGCGGGTTTGCGTCCAGGCTCCCGGCCTCTCTCCACCCGGCCCCTCGCCCCCGTGGGGCCTGCCGCAACCAGGCGGAGGCAGCTGGGTATTTGTAAACCCCGCACTCCGCGGTTTTCTGTGTTGCCCAACGTTTGGGGCAGGGCACGGCGCGGACATCCCGATCACACGAATTCTCCGTTGCAGAGGACCGGCCCTGCGGCGCCCTGAGCCCGGGCAAAGTTGCACAGTGCTGGGCTCCGAGTGGCCCGCACTCCCGAAACGCCGAGAACCACGGCGTCGCCCGTGCCGCACGTGGCTGGCACGGTCACAGGCCCTACGGGCCAGAGCAGCAGGGTCCCCTGGGGTCGCCGCTGCCCCTCTGTCCTCCGTGCCTTTAGCTTACGACCCACGCATCTGCCGGGAGGGCTCTCAGGAGAAAACGGTTTGGAGGCCGCGGGCTCACAGGGAATTTTGTTCAAACGAAAAGAGCGAGGGCAGGGGCTCAGGGCCCATTGGGAGGCCGGCAAAGTGGCGAATAGGCCCGGGCGGCGCCAGCATCAGGCAGGATTTGAGGCGG